GTCGTTGTGGTGTTGTCCATTCGTGTTTTCATTTCTCGGTGGTATTCAACGATCATCGTTTGTTTTTATCTCCGTTCACTGCACGCGACAGCATTTTAACGCACAGTATTCGTTCGATTTTCGTTCTCTCTGTTTTTTCTTTTTTTTTTTTTTCTTTTTCACGCGACTACTACGCGATTGCACGGGCTTCATCGCACTTCTTTTTTTTTTTTTTTTTTTTGACCACCAAAAAATTGAAAATCACTGGCTGGGACTAACTTCTGGGTGAGAAAGACAGGGGGGAGGGGAGATAACGCCACCAAAATGTACAGACAGACACATAACAGTAATTAACGAGGCACAGGTCTGGGTGAGTGGTTGTGTAGTTTTCAAAACCGTCTTCCCGGCTCGCGTTCCAAGCCGATTCTCTCGCTGCGGAGCGTCTTGAAAAAATGCAAAAAATTTTCTTCCTCGGAAATATACACCATACGCCCCCGCTAATAATAACACCTTGCAGATTTATAACTTCTCTCGTGACTTCTCCCTTTTTTTTTTCTCTCTTTTCTTTGTTATTTTTACTTTTTTCATTACACGAGTGATATCTGCCGCCGTGACAGAGTCGTAGAAACGCTACCGTGGCTACACTTTGAGACGCGTTTTAAACGCACAGAGTTTAAATGCATCGGTGAAAGGAGACTCGAGTTTCTCCGTTCGATTGAGAAACTTTCACGCTGCCTTATTTCCTTGGCATTTACACTCTTTGTCAAAGCCTCGATCGTTCGTGTCTCGTGGTGTAGCTGGTCTGGTTCGTGTTGCTTTGGAACAGACACGTCAGGGCTAGGTTGACGATTACCAAGTCCTCGTCGAGGATTCATGAAACACTGTTTCTCTTCTCGTTCCCGACCACGGGGAATGTGCGCGATTTGTGACTCTTAATTGGGAACGGGGCACGGTGAAATCAGTGGTTCATGAATATGCGACGAGCCTCGAAGGACGGTGGCGGTTCGTAGGGGGAATACAGATAGTGACAGATACACCAGCAAGTACCTATTACAGGCAGACAATATTTATGTAACATCGATGGTTAAGCGTCAGTTTCGTAAGGATCTTTCGAAAAGACATTTTTCGTTGGGAAACTTAACGACAGGCTTGTTAACCTTGTGAACCTTTGAGAAACTCAATTATCAATTCATATGTATGTAACTATTCATTTGGTATATTCTCAGAGATTTGAAAGTTTCTTTCTACACTTTAATCTCTTTGCTACGAGTTTTATATTTTAGACGCATTTAAACATGCGAAATATTTAATTACGTAAAAAATTTATATGAAGTATGAACTATATATATATATATATATATATATATATATATATATAATGTATATGGAAGTATATAAAATATCGCGTCAGATTTCAATATTATGTTCGTGAAAATTATTTTCTGCTCAGGAAAACCTGTGAATTGCGTGAAATTTTTAATTCCGCGCTCGCGGAACTTTACTTCCAACGTGGAATGATAAAATCCGATGATTCTATTCAAAGTCGAAGTCTTCTATTGTTGATTCACTCTAATTTCCGTCGTTAGGATCCCAACAAGAAAGATTCTCATGAAATAACGAACATTCGCAGGGTAAACATATGTACGTATGTTGAGAATTGAAGATATTTTCAAGGATTCAGGATGTGGATCTCGAGTGATGTAGAACAACGATAAAGGAAACATATAGACATCCGTATACAGGTATTTCGTACACACGGCCTACGTGAACAGTTAAAGGATAAAAACAGGGAAAAGAAGTAACATATAGACAGACAGACAGAGAGAGAGAGAGAGAGAGAGAGAGAGAGAGAGA